GAGGACAAGAAGTGTTTGTTAAGACAACTGAAAAAGTACATAGATTTGATTCTTAAAAATCTACAACAGCGACTTCCAGATTCTTCTCAACCTCTATGTAGCTTTTACGGATCCCTGTCCTATAAAACTCCAAAAGTTGAGTGGAGAGAGGCACTACCAGCAATGGGGCTGCCATGTGCTCAGGACAGAATAGAGAATTTGAACACAGAGTAGAATATCATACAATGAATGAATGAAGATTTGACTTCAACTTCTTTTTTATCATCACTAGTGGCTCGACCCGATCTTTGTGCTCTGTTTCCTAGGATGAAAGAAGTAGGAATTCATCTCTTGCTACTCCCAGTCACAACAGCTACAGCTGAGCGTTCTTTTTCATCACTGAATAGAATTTTGTGTTCTGAAAGAAGTCGCTTTCTGCCTGAGCATGTGAATGAACTAATGAGCATATCAGCTGAAGGAATGGAAGTACCAGACACATGAGAAGCCACCAAAGATGAATGCACTGCATTCAGGAAGTTCATTAACAGAGTTGTGCAAAATTATAACAAGAAACCAAGAAGGATGTAGATGTAGTGCTTCACAGAAGGCTTGAGTAGCCAACTTTAATTTGTGTGATGATTTTAGAACATGAGTTAAATCTAATAAAATGGTCATGAAACATTTTTCAGTTTTTACTATGGTGCTGTACAGCACACCTTCATGCTCACGGTCTCACCCTTCATCGGCCCTGACCCCCTCCTCCCCCCCCTGTAAATTTGAACACCCCCGCCCCCTTTCAATTCCTGGGGAAAACACTGACAGGTTTACATAGAGACTGTCCAGTTTGACCAATGTACATGGCAGAGGGGCATTGCTGGCCATGTACATTGGTCATACTGGACAGTCTCTACATAAAAGAGTAAATGGACACAAATCAGATGTCAAGAATTATAACATTAATAAACCAATCGGAGAACACTTCAATCTCTCTGGTCACGTGATTACAGACATGAAAGTCGCTATTTTACAACAAAAAAACTTCAAATCCAGACTCCAGCGAGAAACTGCTGAATTGGAATTCATTTGCAAATTGGATACAATTAACTTAGGCTTGAATAGAGACTGGGAGCAGCTTAGTCATTATGCAAGGTAGCCTATTTCCCCTGGTTTCCCCCCCCCCCCCCACGTTCTTGTTAAACCCTGGATTTGTGCTGGAAATGGTCCACCTTGATTATCATACACATTGTAAGGAGAGTGGTCACTTTAGATAAGCTATTACCAGCAGGAGAGTGGGGTGGGAGGAGGTATTTTTTCATGCTTTTTGTGTGTATATAATAAGATCTACACTTTCTACAGCATACATCCGATGAAGTGAGCTGTAGCTCACGAAAGCTTATGCTCAAATAAATTGGTTAGTCTCTAAGGTGCCACAAGTACTCCTTTTCTTTTTGGGGAAAACACTGTCTCTCTCTCTCTCTCTCTCTGCCACTAGATGGGACAGACCACCACATGCTGGAGGTGTGTGGGTTACACTCACTCCAGCAGTCAATTTTTCTTTTTCTTTAAGTCTTTTTCTTTAAGAACCCAAAATGCGAGTGATGGGTGGAATAGCCCCTCCCGCAGGAGTGGCAGAAGGTCCCTAACAGTGTAGGGGGGGGCCACCCCCACCCTATCCCTTCCACCCAAGCCCCTGCCCCCATGCTGCCCATTCCCCCAAAACCCTGCCCCCGCTTGCTCTTCTCCATCCCCTCACCACCATCGCTTGCCCTTATGGCTAGTAAAACATGGGAGGGCATGGCCTCCTGGCTCCCCCATTCTGGCACCCTTGCCCTCCCCTCATTATTTTGTCTACCAATTACAGTAGCCCCAATTTCTGATTTTGGTTCACTGCTTGCTGGTTTTACACTTTTCTTCTTTACCAAACACAATTTTAAATTATATTAGTGCTTGAGTTATATTAGTAGCCTTTTCGTTTGGACTGATTTAGTTTTTGTGTGTTTCTTGTGCAACTTCTCCCATTTACACTTATCATTACAGGGTATTGTGACATTTTATGAATTTACATATAGTTTTTCAGTTGAGCTGACAATTAAGTTAAATTTCTAGGCCCAATTATTATAAAATTATATTATTATATTATATTTATTATTATAAAATTATTATATAATTATTAAATTAATCAGTTCCCCATAGGATCGGACCTTTGTTTTGGTTCATAAAACCACAATTATAAACAAAAACCTTATTTTAGTTTAAGCCCATAGAAGAACTATTTGGTTGTATTTTAAGGTTTGCAAATTTTTTATTTTAAAATTGGGATTTACAAATTGTATTTGATTAGATGTTATAAAAATACAGTTAAACTTTTTAGCTGTTAATAAAGCTAAAATCTTATTTTACCCCTCTGCTGGGTGGAGTTGGCACTAAGGAGGGCTGGGTTCAATATCTAGGGGCTCCTCTTAACACAACACAGAACTGGCTCAAGCCCCCACCTAGTAATCTGGGAAAATTTACCACCACCCCAGAGTGCCTCTAAGAGCCAATACTTCCCCTTTCACAAGCACTGAGTGTGTAAAGAGAACTTTCATTAAAAGGAAAAGGGAACCAAGCATTAGTTTGGGAAAACACAACCGCCACATTCACCAGCACACAACCCTAAGCGAACCCACCCTCACAGTAGATGAGGCAGTGTCTTCCGCATCAGTTTCCCACCTTATGGTGGGAAAGTCCTACAAAGAAATGTCCCTTTAACACATCACCCCCCATCTCCCTCCGCTGCACCCTACTCACAGTTGGCTGTCCTTGGTTAGCAAAGACCCAGAGTTCAGAGGTGGGTTCACAAGGGTTCACCTCTCACCCCAGAAATGGGGGAGGGGCACCAAGCAATGTGTGCAGTCACTTTGCGCCTCTATAACTGGCTGTTTGCTGTTGCCTCTGCTGCCACTGCTTTACTCATACAATAAGTAAAACAGTTCATTCCCCGGCTCTCAATACTGAAGCGATCTGTAACCCAGCACCAGCCAAAAGGGATCATTTTGGCAAAGCAGCTCCATCATCATGCCGCATGCCTAGGCAGATTAGGCATGAATATGCAAACTAGGTCTGTTCCTGAAGTGTCTTCCCCCAGCTCATCACTAGATGTCAGGGAGAGCTCATTCACACCCTGCTTACACTTACAGCTTATTTTATTTGTTGCTAAAACAAAGCGCTAGCTGCTGTTATATTTGTAAGATGTTTAATAACAAACCAGTTTTTGTTACTTTTTTTTGTCTGTGCACTTAGAATGTGTAAAGATGGAAAAACATTTTTCTTTTTTGCTGCTGATACATTTAAAGCTACACATTTATACAAATTGTAAAAACCTCATGCACTAGTGGTTCGGTTTGCTTACATCAAGTTGCAGTGGGGGAGGTTTAGATTGGATATTAGGAAAAACTTTTTCACTAAGAGGGTGGTGAAACACTGGAATGCGTTACCTAGGGAGGTGGTAGAATCTCCTTCCTTAGAGGTTTTTAAAGTCAGGCTTGACAAAGCCCTGGCTGGGATGATTTAACTGGGAATTGGTCCTGCTTTGAGCAGGGAGTTGGACTAGATGACCTTCTGGGGTCCCTTCCAACCCTGATATTCTATGATTCTATGATCTGGAGAAAAACCATTAGTGCTGATGGTATTTTTACCCAAGTGTGCTGCTTTTAAAAAGACAGCAGCAAAATGATGATTTTGGGAATTATTTTTGTATTTGTGAGCTATTTGTGACACCTAAAGGCAGTCAAAATTTGAAGCAGGGCTGTCAATTAATCACAGTTAACTCAACCGATTAACTCAAAACAAATTAACTTGATTACAAAATTAATCATGATTAATCACAGTTTTAATCACACTTTTGAACAATAATAGAATACTAATTTAAATTTATTATAAATATTTTGGATTTTTTCTACATTTTCAAATATATTGATTTCTGTTACAACACAGAATACAGTGTATAGTGCTCACTTTATATTATTTTTATTACAAATATTTGCATTGTAAAAGAAAATAAAAGAAATAATATTTTTCAGTTCACCTCATTCAGGTACTATAGTGCGATCTCTTTATCATGAAAGTGCAACTTACAAATGTAGAATTATTATTTTTTTACAAAACTGCAGTCAAAAACAAAACAATGTAAAACTTTAGAGCCTACATGTCCACTCAGTCTTACTTCTTGTTCAGAGAATTGCTCAAACAAGTTTGTTTACATTTACGTGAGATAATGCTGCCCACTACTTATTTACAATGTCACCTGAAAGTGAGAACAGGTGTTTGCATGGCACTGTTGTAGCCGGTGTTGCAAGGTATTTACATGCCAGATGTGTTAAACATTCATATGCCCCTTAGTGCAATCTGCAAGTTGAAACATGATCTCTTTCTCACAATCATCTGGGACCATTTGCTCAAGTCTCAGAGAACTATCCTTCTTGGTTTTGCTCCCATCTATCAGAATCTGCTTTTTTGCAGCATGCAGCGGAGAGAGAGGCTGGTCCAGTGGCTAGAGAGCTAGTCCTGAGAGACCTGGGTTCTACTTCCCCCATGGACTTCCTGTATGGCCTCAAGCCAGTGCCTTAGGGTCAGAGTTTCAAAGGTTTTTAGGCACCCAAAGATGAAGCTAGGCATCTAAGCTTCCAGGTGCCTTTGAAAATCCCGCTAGGTTCCAAAACACCTTTGAAAATCTGGCCCTTAGTCTCTCTGTGCCTCAGTGCTCCACCTGTACAATGGGGATAACAGCACTGCTCTACCTCACTGGGGGACTGTGAGGAGAAATAGGTTAGGGCTTGTCTACACTTGCAGCTGTAGAGCGCTTTGGGTTAAACCAGCCTTTGGAGAGCGCACTAGGGAAAGCGCTCCAGTCTGTCCACACTGAGAGCTGCAAGCGCACTGGCATGGCCACATTAGCAGCACTTGCAGTGGCACTGGGAGCGGTGCATTATGGGCAGCTACCCCAGCGTTCCAGTGGCTGCAATGTGCTTTTCAAATGGGGAGGGGCTGGGATGGAGTGTGTTGTGTGTATGTGCAGGAGAGAGAGTGGGTTTTTGGGGTGCTGAGAGTGAGTCAGCACTGTCTTGTGAGTTCAGACCCCTGCTCCTTCCCAGCCTCTCTCTCACTCACTCACTCAAAGCAAACATTAGCTGTTTGTTTTTTCCCTTGGAGCAGAAAAGCAGTTTGAAAGGGCCACTTCCGCATTCCTCCCGAGTTCACAACAAAGACAAGAGAGGCCACTTCAGTTAATGGGATTATGGGACGTTTCCGGAGGGCAATCAGAGCGCTGTAACTGTAACTCCTCGTTTACACTGGAGCTGCAGCGTCTCACCCAATACACAACAGCCGTTAATCCTCTTGGGGAGGTGGAGTACCAGGAGCGCTCCAGCCAGGGAGTTAGACTGCTCTACGTGCCTTGTCAGTGTGGACGGGGAGTAAGGTAGAGCGCTCTAGGAGGCTTTATTGCAGTATAACGTGCCAGTGTAGCCAAGCCCTTAGACATTGTGAGGCGCTCAGATACTACGGTGATGGTGTCACATGCTATCCCTTCCCTTGGCAGGCCCGTCCCTAGCTATTCTGGGGCCCTACGCAGCCCCCCTGCAGGGTGTGGGGGGGGGCCAGGCCTCCGCGGGGGTGGTGGGGGCTGGCCCCAGGTCTCCATGGAAGGGTGGGGCTGGCTTGGGGGTAGGGGGGAACCACCCCCCAGCACTCAGCTATGGCGCGGCTGGGGCCAGGTCCCTGCACTTCCCACCGCAGGTGAGTGCAGGCCCGACTCTGCTACAGTCTTCAGGGGCGGGAAGAGCTGGAGCTGGGGTGGGAAGAGGTGGGGCAGGGACAGAGCAGGGCGGGGGCTTTGGAGAAGGGGTAGAGTGGGGGCGGGGCTGGGGGGAACAGCAGTGGGAAGAGGCAGGGGAGGGGTGGGGGGCCTGGGGAAGAGGTGGGGCGGGGAGCTGGAGCAGCTGCCCAGGGCACCAGAAAATTTGCATAGTTTGCGTATGGGTAAGGACGGCCCTTGTCCCTTGGTTTTGGCCCCTTCTTTTCACCTATCCCCCTCACATTTCCCTCTTTTCTTAATGTAATCTTGGCTGTACTTCTTCCGAATCCCCTGTGTTCTGTCTTAAACCTCACCCCCGGCAGAGGCATTTCTGTTTTACAGGCTCAGCTGAGGACTTCCAGATCCTTAATTTAATTACCAGCCCTTTCTTATCTGAATCACTCTGCCTGTTTGTAAACGAAATACTGACTCCCTGCCCTAGGGGCACAACCTGGGAGCCGCACCTCCCTGCAGAACTCAGGATGCACAAGTCTTAGCGGCAAAAGAGAAAGAGGGCTCGGCTACACTTGCACGCTCCCTCCCCCGCCTCTCTCTCATTCACTCAAAGCAAACATTAGCTGTCTGTCTGTTTTTTCTCGGAGCTGACAACGGAGCTTTGAAAGGGCCACTTCCGCATTCCTGCCGGAGTTCACAACAAAGACAAGAGAGGTCACTTCAGTTAATGGGACGTTTCCGGAGGGCAATCAGAGCGCTGTAACTGTAACTCCTCCTTCACACTGACGCTGTAGCGTCTCACCCAATACGCAGCAAACCTTATCCCTCTGGGGGAGGTGGAGTACCAGCAGCGCTCTAGCCAGGGAGTCAGAGCGCTCTACGTGCCTTGCCAGTGTGGACGGGGAGTGAGTTAGAGCGCTCTGGGAGGCTTTATTGCGGTATAACGTGCACGTGTAGCCAAGGCCAGAGATGCTCTCTGGGATAGCTGACCAGAGTGCACCGCTCCAAATAGCACCGCAAATGCCGCACGTGTGAACGCGCTATTGTGCAGGCAGCTGTCAGTGTGAACACACAACAGCGGTTTTCCTTCGGTGCTCTCTGAGCAGCACTGTAACTGCCAGCGCTGAGACTTTGCCAGTGTAGACATGCCCTCAGTTAAGAGCTCTGCCTGGGGCTAGGAGATATGCCTAAACTGAGGAGAGGGGGGCAGAAGCCCTGCCCCCTTTAAATGGCACCCCTGACACTGGCGCCCGAACCATGGCCCTGCCCCCATGCCACCCCTTCCCCCTGAGGCCCTGCCCTTGCACTACCCCTTCCCCCGAGGCCCCGCTCCCATGCCACCCCTTCCCCCCAGGATTCCCCATTTTGGCACCCCTGGCCCAGGATCACATTGGAAATTGGGAAGCAAGGACATAAACCCAGGTCTTCCAAGCGCTAGGCTAGTGCAGATCTCAATTCCTAGCTACCTACTGAGCCTTGCCCCCTTACAGAGAGTGGCAACTGTACTTGCGGCACTGGCCATGACCTGATGTCCCAAACTGGGTCCTGTCTGTCTGGGTTTGGTACTAGTGCCTGTCACTGTAGCATCAGACTGTCCCTCATGTTAGCCTGACAATGGCCAGGGCCCTAGTGGCCATATAGAGAGCTGTGCTTGGGGGGAAGAGATGCGGAGTATGGGCCAACAGGCTGTGGGAGGAAAGCTGTGTCACCTAGAAGGTCCTGCAGGGCTAGTTGGAGATGATCAGATTCCGTTGAGTCTAACCTCCTCAGGTATCAGGGGGTAGCCGTGTTAATCTGTATCCTGTTGTTTTTGTAAACTCCTCAGGTCTCCCAGTGCCAAGTGGGCCGAGTGGGATGTAGTTCTGTCAGGAGGGCGACTGCTGCTCCGGTGGGCTCACAGGACAACATTCTGGGGAGCGGTTTAAGAGAGAGATCCTCCCTCCACCAGACACCTCCCAACCCTATTCCCTGTCTCCTCCTCTTCCCAGGTCAGCATGGACTGACCATAGGCTGAGAACCACTGCCAGTGGGATCAAAGAGCCATGGGCCTCCTAAGGCCTGGCTGCCTCCAGCCTCCAAAGCACCAGTGAATAAGAACAAGGCAGAGGCAGGGTTCAAGCTGTCTGTCGGCGTTAGGTCTGGACCAGCTACCCTGGCACTGGAGGGCGGGAGCTGCTCTGCACCTTCTGGGGAATGCTGTGCTCACCTGTGCAATTAACAGCCCGTGATTCTTGAAGCTGCTGTGATGTCTCCTTCTCCGGTGGTTGGCTCCACGCCCCGGCCAACACACTTTGCTTTCCGAGGCAGGTCAAGAGCAGAAACTGGAACCCGTTGCTCTGCCACACGCCAACTGAAATCTCTGCGTGAAGATACCCAGAGTGGGGGTTTGTGGAAATTCATTCAGAGCCGGAAGATTCATTGAGAAGAGCAGCCCAGAGAATGAAAATGAAACCAGCAGCCTGCATGCAATTAATTCCTTATATTCCTCCCGCCCAGGCTGAGAGCTCTCGTGTTCTGTGGTCACACAGGCAGGGCCGGCTCTAGGCACCAGCAAAACAAGCAGGTGCTTTGGGCGGCACATTTCTAGGGTGGCATTCCGGCACCGGCCCTGCCACCACTAGAAATGTGCCCCTGCCGCCCCAGCTCGCCTCCGCCTGCTCCCCTGAGCGCACTGCCGCCGCGCCGCTCCGCTCCTCCCACCTTCCTCCCAGGTTTGTCGCGCACGAAACAGCTGATTGGCGTGGCAAGCCTGGGAGGGAGAGGGAGAGAGGGAGGAGAAGCCGAGCGGCGGTGGTGCAGCGGGGGTGAGCTGGAGCAGGGAGCAATTCCTCTACCCCCCCCTGTTACTTCCTACGCTCCCCCCCAACCCTCGCTCACCTCAGCTCCGCCTGCTCCCCTGAACGCACTGCCTCTCCCTTGCCTGAGAGGGAGGGGGAGAAGCCGAGGGCCAGCATGTTCAGGGGAGCAGGTGGAGGGGAGGTGAGCTAGGGTGGCGGGTTGCAGGGGGGGAGCCACAGGAAGTAATGGGGGGGCAAATGCGGCACGCCCTGGGAGGGAGGCAGGGCTGGGGATTTCGGGAAGGGGTTGGGAAGGGGCGGGGTTGGGGCAGAGCCAGGGGCATGAAAAAAAAGCGGGGGTGGCCCAAAATTTTTTTGCTTACGGCAGCAAAAATCCTGGACCCGGCCCTGCTTACAATCCTCCGCCCAGGCTGAGTGCTCTTGTGTTCTGTGGTCACACAGGCAATCTGCAGCACAGGGACTGGGTTCTTTGCAAAGCTGAGTGGGAAGCTGCAGGTGTCTCTGATATAAACTGATACTGGCCATTCCTAGAAGAGCCTGCATCTCAGCCCTTTCATCAGCCATGGGGCTGTACCCTGGTTTAAAAAAAAAAAAAAGGAAGTCAAACAGGGCTGGAACTTGTGGAGGTCAGCAGTTTGCTTGGGAGGAGTTTAACATTTGGCAGATAATGCACTGACAATGAGGAGCATTTATAGGAAAATGGTGTCACATGTATAGGTGCCCAGCCACCGGCGCCCCCCCGCCCCCCTCCCAGAAGCTGTAAAGGTTGGGGAATTCCAATGCACACAAAATAGCCTCGCCAAACATACTGGAATAAATAGTACTTGAATATTTCAGTGCGGCTTAATTACCTTATACAGCTTTGAAAGTCCCAACGTTAATCATTAAAGTCACTAATGAATCATATGCGAGGGAAATAATCAAAAGTCAAAGTCCAATGAAGTCCCTGGGTGTCTTCACTGGGCTTGGGTCAGGGCCCGCAGGCAGCAAATAGAATTCATAGTTCAAAAATAAAAGATAGGCAGTGGTTCTCAATCAAGGGTACACGTACCCCTGGGGGCATGCCGAGGTCTTCCAAGGGTACATCAACTCATCTAGATATTTGCCTAGTTTTACAGCTTGCTACATAAAAAGCACTAGCGAAGTCAGTACAAACTAAAATTTCGTACAGACAATGACTTGTTTATACTGCTTTATATACTATACACCAGAGGTGGGCAAACTACAGCCTGTGGGTCACATCCGGCCTGCGGGACCCTCCTCCCCGGCCCCTGAGCTCTTGGCCCAGAAGGCTCACCCCTGGCCCCTCCCCCGCTATTCCCCCTCCCCCGCAGCCTCAGCACGCTGCCCTGCCGGCGCAACGCTCTGGGCGGCCGGGCAGCGCAGTTGCAGAGCTGCAGCCTGACCCGGTGCTCTGGGGGTTGGATGGGGCAGGGGTCCCGGGGGGCAAGTCAGGAATGAGGGGGGGTTGGATGGGGTGGCGGGGGAAGTCAGTGGTGGGAGGTCCGGGGGCGGTCAGGGGACAGGGAGCAGGAGGTGGTGGATGGGGTAGGAGTCCCGGGGGAGCCATCAGGAGGCGAGAAGCGTGTGTGGGAGGTCGGATAGGAGGCGGGGGCCGGGCCACGCCTGGCTGTTTGGGGAAACACAGCCTCCCCTAACTGGCCCTCCATACAATTTTGGAAACCCGATGTGGCCCTCAGGCCAAAAAGTTTGCCCACCCCTGCTATACACTGACATGTAAGCACAATATTTATATTTCAATTCATTTGTTTTATAATTATATGGTAAAAATGAGAAAGCCAGCAATTTTTCAGTAATAGTGTGCTGTGACACTTTTGTATTTTTATGTCTGATTTTGTAAGCAAGTAGTTTTTAAGTGAGGTGAAACTTTGGGTACGCAAGACAAATCAGACTCCTGAAAGGGGTACAGTCATCTGGAAAGGTTGAGAACCACTGAGATTGAGGCCAAGATTTTCAATAACTGGTGGTAAATGTGAGGCTCCTGAATCTGCAGCCCCGATCCTGCAGATTCATCCCTACTTAGCTTGACTGTGGGAGTGGTCACTCAGGTTAAACTAAGCCTGTGAGTAAGTGTTTGTGGGATCAAGGCTAAAATATGGACCTGTATGCCTAAAATTAGCAGTATTGCCAACCCCAGGCACTCAAAAACCATGAGTCAGGCCCCCTATGATCAGGAGATTGGCTTAAACATCAGGAGGATTTTAAAAACAATACATCTTGGGTTCTTTTTACTCGGGGTTTTGAGCCTTTGCAATACATACAGGTCATGTTTTGAAGGTTTTCTCCACACCGGGAGGACTAGAAACGTCCTGTTTTTAACGAAAGTGAGATTCTCACATATTCACATGACTCCAGGAGGTAGGACTTTGAAAGCCAACTATCAAGTAAGTATCCTGAGACTTGCGATAATATCACAAGAGATGGTAACACTGAGTTAGGCTCCTATTTTAGAAAATCTTGGCTCTGACTAATATTTCAATAGAGAAGTGCCTTCCTATTACCTTGAGGAGCTTTATAAAACCTGCTTTATACAAAAGCCCCAGGTCGTGAACAGGAAATAAAGCACTGTATGCCCGTGAGTATCGACTGACGTCAATCACATATCACAGACAAACAATCGCTAGAACTAAAGCAAGTCCCAGAGAAGAAGTCAACAGAGGCCATGCGGTTTTAAAAGTTCAAATAGCACCACAATCTTTGAATAGAATAAATCAGCATATTCCAAAGTGTGTGGTATCCCCACATCCCAGGAGGAGAGGGAGAGGACAACTGCCTGGCTGATGCAGCCTGCGCAGACCTCTAAATAGTTCTAAATCTAAACTTTCACTTAAAGAAAGTAAGGACCAGATCCTCAAAGGTGCCTAACTCCCATTGAAATCAATGGCAGTTAGGGGTCTTGACAGTGTTGAAGATGTGGGCTTGAAGTTGCTAATAGTTAATGAGCTGAGTGTAATGAATGCAGTACCAGCTGCCTGAGTTTTCAGAGAATCTGAAACAATAGCTTCATAGTGTGAACTGCTCCATTCATTTCAATAGGTGCTAGCTCAGATGCCATTGATAGTATTTTAAGTGCCAACATTAACTATTTCACTGCCAATCGAAGCAGAAGGGAAAAGAGAAGTAGTATATTATGAAGATCTACACTATCTACTCTGATTGACAGCTCATTTCAGAAAGGCCTTTAGCAACACATGATGGGGCTGCAGGGGAGGGGAGGTCATAATTGGTTTCATTTTGTTGAGGGGAGGGGTTTCAACTTGCTAAAGTCTAGGAAATGCTGGATTACATGAAAACACTAGTCTGATGGTCCTTGTCAAGGGGAGCGTTAACTGACCAACACCAGGGGTAAGGGCAGAAAGAATGGGGGAAGGGATGTTTTACATCTGTGGAGTGGTTCTCATACAATAGCAATGCTGGGGCAGCTAAGGCTAGCAAATAACAAATGTTCCCAAATGACAAACAATAGTCAACAGCAGCAGCAACTGGGGCCAATGAACTGATCACCTAGAAGAAAAAGGCCAAGGGCCAAGTTTTCAAAAGAGTTCAGCACCCAGCATTTCCCATTGTGACCACGAGGGATAGGTCATCCAAAGAAGTTCCAGGAAGCCTGGGCCATCAAATGGAAAACCAGGACTGTCCTGGGAAACTGGGGACATAGGGTCACTTTACCAATGCCCAAAAGAATAAGCCTCCCTGGTTGAGAAGTCAAGGACTTGTATATTTCAGGTAGTGTGCACAAAACAGAATCCTCTAGAACAGAACAAAACTGCTCTCCTAGGAAGCTGCTGAATCAAGTTTTCAGGTGCCCTTGATCATCTGCAAAATCCCATGTTCAACAGAGGCTCAATGTCCGTATAATAATTAAAAGTGAGATACATAGCTGATTTCGACTAATAAGCTTGGTCATTTATTTGTTGAGAAATCTCACTCCTTTATTTTTCACAATGCATTCTGATACTGCAGCGTCCTTCATATCCATCTTTTCCAGGAGTGAGTGTCCATAGAAGGATCTCCTTTCTCTCAACTGAGAGTATCACTTATACTATGATACAATCTCATTTTAAATATATCCCACTGAACTAATTTACCACTGGCTACAAAATGATTGGATGGAGCAGAAATAAGCCTACTCAGAAAATGGGATTTTGTGCCTTCTATGGCTTGCAGTAGCCTCCAGCTCAGAAGAATCCCATGGATCCATTTGTAACACCTATCCAGCTTTTCACATGGTTTGTGAGTCGCTACACTAACGTCAGACCTCTTGCAGTTGGATTCCTTGCAATAATTTGATTCAGTTCTATCGTCAGAACACAGCATAATATATGAGCTTTTTACATCTACTTCACTTCTGTTTTTGGACGGTCTGGCTCCCAAAAGCCTCAGACAACACTAGTCAAACATCAGCTCAGTGTGCAATAATTATTACTAATGATCTGCATGAAAGAAACATTTTAACTACTGCAAATGGCAGAAGAAAAGTGCAATCAGCAGAGACATGGAGATGGAATACAGGATCCAGAGCAGCTGTCTTTGTAATGCAGAAGGAAATTCCATTTGTTGATTACAATCCAACTAACAAACGCTAGGAAAAGCAACTTTAGGCTCCAGTTCCGCAAACTATTCTGTGCAGGCAAATCTCTGTGGGAGTCAGCGGCGTAGTCTGCAGAAGTGGAGTAGTTGCAAGCCTCAGCTTGCATAGTGTCTCTCCTGGAAAAGGCAGTGCCTGAAATACGGCTTGTCTGCATTCCATAATCTTCCCTCTGCCCCATGGCTCCTTGGCGCCTAAACATTTCTCATCACCTGTTGTCACATTCTGGGGTGCAATCCAGACAATTGAGAGGTTGTGTCACTGCCTGTCCTGTAACCCTGGGTTCCTCAAAATGTTCTGCTGCTGTTGTGGTTCTCTTATTTGGACGCTTCCAATCTCCTGAGTCA